ACGGTCGGTGTTGGTGGTTCTAGTCTTGGTGCTGTTGTGGTGCTAGTCCGGTCTTGGTCTTTGGTGCCATGGTGCTGATCGTGGTGCTTATTGTGGTCTTGGTCTTGGTCTTGGTCTTGGTGCCATGGTCTTGATCGTGGTGCTTATGGTGGTCTTGGTCCTGGTCTTGGTGCTAGTGCCATTGTGCTTGATCGTGGTTCCTATGGTGGTGCTTGGTCTGGTGAGTTCTGCGGAACGGTCAGATTTGGGCTGGTGCATGGTGCCACGGTCGGTGTTGGTGGTGCTAGTCTTGGTGCTGATTTGTGGTGCTAGTCCGGTCTTGGTGCTTGGTGCCATGGTGATGATCGTGGTGCTTATTGTGGTGCTTGGTCCTGGTCTTGGTCTTGGTGCCATGGTGCTGATCGTGGTGCCTATGGTGGTCTTCGGTCCTAGTGAGTTCTGCGGCACGGTCGGATTTGGGCTGGTGCATGGTGCCACGGTCGGTGTTGGTGGTGCTAGTCTCGGTGCTTGTCTGTGGTGCTAGTCCGGTCTTGGTGCTTGGTGCCATGGTGCGATCGTGGTGCTTATTGTGGTGCTTGGTCCGGGTCTTGGTGCTTGGTGCCATGGTGCTTGATCGTGGTGCTTATGGTGGTCTTCGGTCCGGTCTTGGTGCTTGGTGCCATTGTGCTTGATCGTGGTGCCTATGGTGGTCTTGGTCTGGTGAGTTCTGCGGCATGCGTCGGATTTGGGCTGGTGCATGGTGCCACGGTCGGTGTTGGTGGTGCTAGTCTTGGTGCTATTTGTGGTGCTAGTCCGGTCTTGGTGCTTGGTGCCATGGTCTTGATCGTGGTGCTTATTGTGGTGCTTGGTCCTGGTCTTCTTCTTCGGTGCCATGGTGCTTGATCGTGGTGCCTATGGTGGTCTTGGTCCTGGTGAGTTCTACGGCACGGTCAGTTTGGTGCGGTGCATGGTGCCACGGTCGGTGTTGGTGGTGCTAGTCTTCGTGCGTATCTGTGGTGCTAGTCCGGTCTTGGTGCTTGGTGCCATGGTGCTTGATCGTGGTGCTTATTGTGGTCTTGGTCCTTGGTCTTGGTGCTTGGTGCCATGGTCTTGATCGTGGTGCTTATGGTGGTGCTTGGTCCTGGTCTTGGTGCTAGTGCCATTGTGTTGATCGTGGTTCCTATGGTGGTCTTGGTCCTGGTGAGTTCTGCGAGCGGTCGGATTTGGCTGGTGCATGGTGCCACGGTCGGTGTTGGTGGTGCTAGTCTTGGTGCTGCTGTGGTGCTAGTCCGGTCTTGGTCTTGGTGCCATGGTGATGATCGTGGTGCTTATTGTGGTGCTTGGTCCTGGTCTTGGTGCTTGGTGCCATGGTGCTTGATCGTGGTGCCTATGGTGGTCTTGGTCCTAGTGAGTTCTGCGGCACGGTCGGATTTGGGCTGGTGCATGGTGCCACGGTCGGTGTTGGTGGTGCTAGTCTTGGTGCGTTGTGGTGCTAGTCCGGTCTTGGTCTTGGTGCCATGGTGTTGATCGTGGTGCTTATTGTGGTGCAGGTCCTGGTCTTGGTGGTGGTGCCATGGTCTTGATCGTGGTGCTTATGGTGGTGCTTGGTCATGGTCTTGGTCTTGGTGCCATTGTCTTGATCGTGGTGCCTATGGTGGTCTTGGTCTGGTGAGTTCTACGGCACGGTCGGATTTGGCGTGGTGCATGGTGCCACGGTCGGTGTTGGTGGTGCTAGTCTTGGTGCTTGTTTGTGATGCTAGTCCGGTCTTGGTCTTGGTGCCATGGTGCTTGATCGTGGTGCTTGGTCCTGGTCTTGGTGCTTCGGTGCCATGGTCTTGATCGTGGTGCTTATGGTGGTCTTGGTCCGGTCTTGGTCTTGGTGCCATTGTCTTGATCATGGTGCCTATGGTGGTGCTTGGTCTGGTGAGTTCTACTGGCACGATCGGTTTGGCTGGTGCATGGTGCCACTGGTCGGTGTTGGTGGTGCTAGTCTTTGTGCTGATTTGTGGTGCTAGTCCGGTCTTGGTCTTGGTGCCATGGTCTTGATCGTGGTGCTTATTGTGGTGTTGGTCCTGGTCTTGGTGCTTGGTGCCATGGTGTCGATCGTGGTGCTTATGGTGGTGCTGGTCCTGGTCTTGGTGCTTGGTGCCATGGTGCTTGATCGTGGTGCACAGCAGACCCCAAATCTTGCCGGGCTCCAAATAAAGT